TTTTTTTGCGAGACTCTCCTTCCGAGCCTGCGGCACCATACCGTCGAGACGCTGCCACAAGGAACACCGAATCAGGAACGCAGGGGCTCTCCTGACCAATGGTGAACCTCGGCCACGAATAGGTTCCCAGACCTAGATCTACTAGGAACGGCCCAAAAGCCCTGAGCCCCTCATGAGCCCAAAGTGGTCCTTATTTCAGCGTCCTGACTGTAGCTGCCTGCGAGGGAAGTGTGTCCAAGGAAGGGTTCGGAGGCAACTCATGGGAGCCTCCCATACCATCTTGTCGGCTCTTGCGAATCGACGCTCATCGAAGCGAGTCGATGCTAGTCGACGCTAAGTCGACGCTACATCGACGCCAATCGACGCTAAATCGACGACAGATCTGCGCTATCTCATTGATTCCCAGACGCTGATCGGCGCTACTCGACGCTGGCGCCGGAAGTAAGAGGGACGGAGGCTGGGGGGTGACTCCGACGTGCAACGGAGACCCCCCCCTTGCGGGAAATCGATTTCGATTTCGGCTTCGTGTCGTGCGTGCCGCGCGTGCGTGCGTGCGATGCGAAGCTGCGTGGGCGGGCGAGAAGAAATCCTCCTGCCGCTGGGCCGCGGCCAAGCCAAATGCTTCTCCTCCGGCGGCCAGTGGCCCGCGGTGTCCCGCCGTTGTCCCGCTGGTGTCCCGAAATCCTCCTGCGGCCAGGAGGAGGAGGAGGAGGAGGCGCGGCCGGACCAAAAGTCTCTCCACCCGGCAAACGGTGCCCCTCGGTGTCCCGCCGGTGTCCCGCCGTGGCTGCGGCGAGCTATCCAATGCAAGTCTACATGCAAATCGACATGCAAACCGAAAAGCACATCGAAATGCAAATCGGCATGCACATCCAAATGCAAATCGTAAGGCGCCGTGGGTTGCGTAATCGAAAGATCGGCGCCTGCGGCGAGCTTTCCAATGCAAGTCGGCATGCAAATCGAGATGCAGATCGAAAAGCAAATCGACATGCACATCGATATGTCGAAATGCAAATGGAGATGCAGACCGAACAGCAAATCGACATGCACATCGATATGCGCATCACAGGCATCGTCAGAACAACAGTCACCACTGTTGCCCATTGCTGCCCCCCAAACCTCCTTATCACCAGCAGGGTGGTCGTATAGGTATACCAAGCTCCCACATGATTTGCTTTAGGTCGGGCACATCCCCCTACAGACGGATTTTGAACGAACAGTTTAAACCATGCGCCAGGCAGATCCAAAACCAGTCAAACATAATACACATGTCGTCCCCAGAGTATCGTTTTTGACTATGTTGTGGATATTCCCCCAGTAGGGAGGCACGCCCGACTTCAGCTTTGCGACCAAAGGGAGGGGGGAGGAGCCGCGGCGCGGGCGGGGGAGCGGAGAGGCCGCGGCGCGGGCGGGGGAGAGGAGGGCTCCCGCGGGAGGGCGCCCAGGGGGGGGGAGGGGCAACCGCGGCAGGGACCGCGGGGCGCAGGCGGGGCACACCAGGTGGCGGGCAAGACTTGTATCCATACAGTCCTCCTCCTCCCTCCTCCTCCTCCTCCTCCCTCCTCCCCTCCCTCCTCCCTCCTCCCTCCTCGCCCCCCCTCCCCCTCCCCTCCTCCCTCCCCTCCTCCCTTCCTCCCTCCTCCTCCTCCCTCCTCCCTCCCCCCTCCCCCCTCCCTCCTCCTCTCCTCCCCTCCCTCCTCCTCCTCCTCCCTCCTTCCTCCCTCCTCCTCCGCCTCCTCCTCCTCCTCATCCTCTCCTGCCCTTTTCCTCCTCCTTCTTCTCCTCCTCCTCCTCCTCCTCCTCTTTCCTCCTCCTCCGTCTCCTCCTCCTCCTCCTCCTCCTCCTCCTCCTCCTCCTCCTACTCCTCGGATTGCTGAAATGAGGAGCGCTGGATAAGGAACGAAGCCACAGCGTGGCACCAAACAATTCAAGTGCCCGGGTGCTCGAGGTGGGCTGGAGGAGCAACCACGGAATGACCACAGGAGCAGCGAGCTCCTTCCGAACCCTACGCGGTCTTCAGTCCAGCGTCCTGACTGTATCCAGTGCGTGTTGGATGTTCGGGCTCCCTTTCCCTCCCCAAACCTAGGGTCGAGGTGGATACGGATCTGGCCCCTCTGAGACCGAGATTCTTGTCCATACCCACTGCGTCTCGGTCTTTAGGCGCTCCTAGGGGAGCAATCAATGACATAAGCGTAAACACGCGGAGGTCCGCGCAGATTTCTCGATTCGTCGCTGGACTCTGGGGCGCGGAGCGCCAGGGGCGGCGCCAGAGGCGCCACCAAGGGGCTCCCGCGCCGATCCGAGAAATCTGCGCTGAGCCGCCGAGTTCTTATGCTTATGCCACTGCTTGTTTAAAAGGGGCCCTGGGACACACGAGTATATATATATATATATATATATATATATATATACACACAAATCCCCGGATTCTCCATGTGTTCACACACGTTCTGGGTGTCTGTCTTTCCCCCCCCCCCCCACTTCCCATATTTCCCCATAG